TCACGTATTTTAGTGGACGAAGATATGGCGGCCACTAATATATTGAAAGCGTTAAAGTTTTACAAGAAGGAGGGTTTCGCTCAACTCAACGACTCGTACTTTCCGTCCGAGTTTTACGCCACGGGTTATCTCATTAACCACGGGGTCGACAAACAGGGCGGCCCTCTCATCGGCTTTTGTAACCGTTGTTTCAATTCATACCGAGATATTAGCGATGATATGTACGAATTGGGCCGAAGATATATGTTATACAATGTGTATAAAACTCGCATAGAGTTGGACCCAAAGCCCCGGACCACATACGTGGCCGCAGAAGGCGCTGCTTATAATAATTTTGATATAAGTTAGTATTGGTCTATAAAAATAGTTTATTAATTAAATTGTTTTGACAGAAATGCTGACAAATATTGTGGATTTTGTCAATGATTTTATGCCTAATACTCCGGGAAGGCTTATTGTGGCGGATATGTCACCGCTGATGATAATGACATTCAAAGTGTTGGTCAATCTATTGAAGGATTCATTTCAACAGATGCTTACGTTTACAACAATGAGTGAAATAAGGAAATGGATTGATTATCAACAGATCCCGGCATATATGGGCGGAAATGTGCAAGATTTTAAACGTATACCCGATGGGGTTAAGAGTGGTAAATGTCTACACCATTTGAAATACATCCCGGATTCTGATTGGCAGGCATTTATTGACCACAATATTATGTGTATCAGAGAAGGCATGAAAGAATTGGGCTTTAAATCACAGGAAAAGTACTTAAGGTTTGAGTGTTAATGTGTGCCATAAAAATATATGATATAGTATAAATAGCTATTATTTATAATAACTTATTATTAATAAGTTAAATACTTGTAAAATACAGTATATACTGAAATAATTAAACATTGAAAAGTTTTTTTGTAATAAATTTTCTTAAATGAAATAATTATAATTTTTGTAAAATTTTTATATAAAAAATTAATTGAATACGTTTAACTTATAACATTTAACATTCAACCAAGTATGATTAAATTGAACGTTTTATGACACAAATGAAAACATTTAATTATAAATATTAATTAAGTAAATATAAAAATGTGTATAAATTATGTAATTACATTGAACTGTTATAGAAAATGTCTGTTCATAATAAATATATCACATTTTTATTAATTTTAAATAACTGTTTGTTATTACTTGAGTCGGCAAAAACAAACTCAATGGCTGACCGTGTTCAAAGGGTTCGCCAAATGGTCATAGATCATGTGGGTATGCACCCCGATCTATATGATGAAATGGACATCGAGCACATTCGTAATAAAGACTATATCATTGAACGGTATTTAAAGGCAAACAAATGTAAGAATTATTCTATTTAATAATTTAATTTAAATTCTGGTTTGGGTTTTAAATGAGACGATTTATATATTTTGTAGTGATTGAAGACAAAGCAAAAAAAGGTATTTTAAAAGCACTAAAATTTTACAAAAGTGAGGGTTTGGCTCAACTTAACGACCAATACTTTCCGGCCGAGATGTATGCGACGGGTTTTCTCATCCGATACGGAACGGACAAAAAGGGCGCACAACTAATGGGGTTCTGTAACCGGTGTTACGTACCCTTAGCTGATATTAGCAGAGATATGTGGGATTTGGGCCGAAAATTCCTGTTGTATTTTGTGTATAAGAGTCGCATAGAGTTGGACAATAAGCCCCGCGCTGTATATGTCTCATCGGAAGGAACCATCGCGGCAAATTTTGAAATCTGTAAATGTTTGGTAAACGTGTGGTAAATTTAAAATCTAAAAATTACATTCATTTGAATAGCAATAATGAGACCTGCGATCGATTTTGCTAATGAGTTCATGCCGTCCACTCCGGGCAATCTACTAGTGCTGGATCTGCCCGCCATTCTTAGGGTGACGTTCAGAATGATAGTAAGCCTATTGAATGAATGGTTTAGCGGTTCAGTGATTTTCACAACAATGCGTGAAGTAAAGCAATGGATTAGTTATAGTGAAATTCCCGAATATATCGGCGGAAACTATAATAACTACTCGAGAATACCTGAAGGAGTAAAGAGTGGTAAATGTCTGAAGCATTTGAGTTATATTCCGGACTCAGATTGGGATATGTTTTCCGACAATAATATTGTTTGCATCCGAGAAGGCATGAAAGAAGCGGGCATTAAGTCGCTGGATAGATATTTAAGAATATCATGTTGAACAATTTGTCAATATATGTATGCAAATGTCCACAATTTTTATACAATTACGATTAAATTTATATGTGATAATTATAAAGTTAACAATTATAAGTTGCACAGTGATTATTGGAGAATGTATGTTACCTTAAATAATAAATAATTGGTATGAGTTAGTGTTTAATTTTTATAAAATTATTAATTTATTTAAATATGATAAAAGACTTTAAATAATATAATAAATACTGAAATTTTGATAATGTGTTAATATATTTTTAAAAAATAAATTGTTAACTGAATATAATCAATATAAATTAATCATAGCGTAAACATAAAAAATGTTGCATAATTAAAAATTAATTTTTAAATACAATATTAATAATGTGGATATAAATTACATAATTATTTCTAAATGTTATAAAAATGTCTGTTTATAATAAATATACCACATTTTTATTAGTTTTAAATGTATGTCTACTAATTGAATCGGCAAATGTTAAATCATTGAGTGAGCATGTTGAAAAGGTTCGCCAAATGGTTCTTGATGAAGTGAGTGTTCACCCCGATCCATATGATGAGAGGGACGTCGAGAACATCCGCAATAAAGACTATATCATTGAACGCTATTTAACAAAATATAAATGTAAGAATCATTTGTTTTTATAATTCTACTAAAATATAAATGAAATGATATTTATAATGATTGTAGTGAACGATGTAAAAGCGAAAAACGGTATTATAAAAGCACTAAGGTTTTACAAAAGTGAGGGTTTAGCTCAACTCAACGACCAATACTTTCCGGCCGAGATGTATGCGACGGGTTTTCTCATCGGATACGGTGTGGACAAAAGTGGCGTACAATTAATGGGTTTCTGTTGCCGGTGTTACGTACCCTTACATGACATTAGCAAAGATATGTGGGATTTGGGCCGAAAATTCCTGTTGTACTTTGTGTATAAGCATCGCATAGAGTTGGACGATAAGCCCCGCGCTGTATATGTTTCATCGAACGGAACCATCCCGGCTAATTTTGAACTTGGTAAATGTTTGGGTAAACATGTGGTAAATTTATAATCTAAAAATTACATTCATTTGAATAGCAATAATGAGACCTGGGATTGAGTTTGCTAATGATTTCATGCCGGCCACTCCGGGAACACTTCTAATGGTAGATCTGCCCGGCATCCTTCGGGTGACGGGCAGACTGATAGTAAGCCTATTAAATGAATGGTTTAGCGGATCAGTGTTGTTCACAACAATGCATAAAATAGATCACTGGATTAATTATAGCGAAATTCCCAAATATTCCGGCGGAACCTATAATGACTACTCGAGAATACCTGAAGGCGTAAAGAGTGGTAAATGTCTGAAACATTTGAGTTATATTCCGGATGAAGATTGGGATAAGTTTGCCGAAAAGAATATTGTTTGCATCCGAGAAGGCATGGAAGAAGCTGGCGTTAAATCGCGAAAAGAATATTTAAAAACATCATGTTGAACAATTTGTCAATAAATGTATGCAAATGTCAACAATTTTTATACAATTACAATTAAATTTTAAGTTAATTTTTGATAAAAATTATAAAGTTAAAAATTATTTGTAATATATTTGTAATATTGGAATATTTGTAATAAATTATTGAAATGGATGCAATTGTTTAATTTAACATTTTAATAATAAAAAATGTAACTAAATATAATCAATATAAATATTATAGGATAAACACAAAAAATGTTGCATAATTAAAAATTAATTTATAAATACAATGTCCATAATGTGGATATAATTACATAATTACTTCTAAATGTTATAAAAATGTCTGTTTATAATAAATATACCACATTTTTATTAGTTTTAAATGCATGTCTAATACTAATTGAATCGGCCAATGTAAAATCATTGGGTGACCATGTTCAAAAGGTTCGCCAAATGGTCCTAGATGAAGTGAGTTCTAACCCTGATCCATATCATGAGATGGACGTCGAGAACATCCGAAATAAAGACTATATCATTGAACGCTATTTAACAAAAAATAAATGTAAGAATCATTTGTTTTTATAATTCTATAAGGTAAATAAAAAAAATACATATGTATTTATAATAATTTAAGTGAACGAAGTAAAAGCGAAAAACGGTATTTTAAAAGCATTAAAGTTTTATAAAAGTGAGGGTTTGGCTCTATTTAACGATCAATACTTTCCGTCCGAGTATTACGCGACCGGTTTTCTCATCCGACACGGAATGGACAAAATGGGCGCTTCACTCATGGGCTTCTGTAACCGGTGTTATATACCATATCTGGATATTAGCCAAGATATGTATGATTTGGGCCGAAAATTCCTCTTGTATTTCGTATATAAGGGTCGCATAGAGTTGGACCCAAAGCCCCGCACAACATATGTCTCTGCAGAAGGTTCAAGCATGATTAATTTTGAAATTAGTAAGTATTTTGTAATTGTTGACATGGTAGATTTAAAATTTGGAAATAACATTTATTTAAATAGCGTTACTGAGAAATGCGCTCGACTTTGGCACTAATTTTATGCCCGACACTCCGGGCAAACTTCTAGTGATAGATTTGCCCACAATTTTGACGTATTTATTGAACATATTTGTGGATTACACAAAAAGTTGGCACAAAGGGAAGCTGACGTTCACCACAATGCGTGAAATCAAGAAGTGGATCAGTTATAATGAGATACCAGAATATATGGGCGGAAACCTCAAGAACTACTCGAGAATACCTGAAGGTGTGAAGAGTGGTCGATGTCTAAAGCATTTGAGTCATATTCCCGATGAGGATTGGGATACGTTTGTTAGTCAAAACATTGAGTGCATCCGCGAAGGCATGAAAGAAGTTGGTATTAAATCGGTGGACAAGTTTTTGAACGTTAATTGTTGAGACATTTGTTGATACAGTTAGGCCTCGGTTTTGACGCCCAATTTTCTATGACTGTATGATTTAATTCTAACACGTTGTATACAACAATAACTTTTTAACTTTAAACTGTTATGTTTGTATAATTTCTTACCAAATATATAGACCATAACAACTTTGTTAGAAATCATTTCACTTTTAAAACAACACATAAATAAGAATTACTGTAAATATTATTAATGAGTATATATTTGATATGTAATAAATTACATAATAATATTAAAATTTCATAGAAAAATGTCTGTCCATAAAAAATATACCACTTTGTTATTAATTTTAAATACTTATTTACTACTAATTGAATCGGCAAAAATAAAATCAATTGACGAGCGTGTTCAAAAGGTTCGCCAAATGGTCCTTGATGAGGTGAGTAAGTTCCCTGATGAATTTGATGAGATGGACGTAGAACACATTCGTAATAAAGACTATATTATTGAACGGTATCTAAAGGCAAATAAATGTAAGAATTATATGTTTAATAATTTTATTTAAATTCTGGTTTGAGTTTTAAATGAAAAGACTTTTCTCGCAATTGTAGTGAACGAAGAAAATGCAACGAAAGGTATTTTAAAAGCTCTGAAATTTTACAAAAGTGAGGAATTGGCTCAACTCAACGACCAATACTTTCCCTCCGAGTTGTTTGCGACGGGTTTTCTCATCCGCTACGGACTGGACAAAAAGGGCGCACAACTAATGGGGTTCTGTAACCGGTGTTATGTTCCTTACGGAGACGTTAGCCAAGATATGTATGATTTGGGCCGAAAATTTCTGCTGTATTTTGTGTATAAGAGTCGCATAGAGTTGGATCAAAAGCCCCGAGCAGTATATGTATCCGCCGCTGGAACTGTTCTGGAAAATGTTGAATTTAGTGAGTGTTTTGAAAAGTTGCCATGATAGATTTACGATCTAAACATAACGTTATTTGAATAGCAATAATGAGAAACGCTATCGATTTTGCCAATAATTATATGCCGTCCACTCCGGGCACACTTCTAATCGTGGATCTGCCCGTCATTCTTAGGGTGACGTTCAGAATGATAGTAAGCCTATTGAATGAATGGTTTAGCGGACAAGTGGTGTTCACAACAATACGTAAAATAAAGCAATGGATTAGTTATAGTGAAATACCCGCTTATATCGGCGGCAACTTTGAGAACTACACGAGAATACCTGACGGAGTAAAGAGTGGTAAATGTCTAAAGCATTTGAATCATATTCCGGATGAGGATTGGGATACGTTTACTAAACAAAACAATGTTTGCATCCGAGAAGGCATGCAAGATGTTGGCATTAAATCTATGGAAAAGTATTTAAACATTGAATGTTGAAAATTAGTTAATAAATGTATATAATTTAAATGTACTATTAAATTTATATGTATTTTAGAAATTATAATTTGTCGCAGTATATTATTGTAAATAATGAATAAATAAATTAACTATTTATTCAAAACTCTAGAACTTTAATATTTAATTTATTTTATATAATGTAATAATAATTTTGGGGGCACTATTGTATCTGGCCGGAGCGATATCGGGGGGTTAAGTATATACATCGAACAAGTGGTCCGAGAGGTATCCAACGGTGTATATATCAAGTGTACCGGATGTCCCGTTCCCGAGATATCGGATCTAAATGTACCGAACTTCCCATTGAAACTCATTATAAAGCAATATTTCAATTTTGCATAGAAAGCATATTTTGCATAAATCTCAATAAAAATAATTTATAACTTCACCTAACCTAACCTAACCTAACCTAACCTAACCTAACCTAACCTAACCTAACCTAACCCAACCTAACCTAACCTAACTAATATTACATATAATAAATATTTAATTTAATTTATAATTATACTACAGTAAATATATATAATATTATGTTTTATCCCCGGAACAACTCTATAAGTAAGTCTAATATACTGTAACTATACTGTATTCCTATGTAAAATTCAAATATTGCTTTATAATGGGTTTCAATGTGAAGTTCGGTACTTTTAGACCCGATATCTCGGGAACGGGACATCCGGTACACCTGATATATACACCGTTGGATACCTCTCGGACCACTTGTTCGATGTATATACTTAACCTCCCGATATCGCTCCGGCCAGATACAATAGTGGCGCCATAATTTTGGTTATTGCACGTGTGGAAATTACCTATGTATCAATATTACATTTAGCAATTAATATGCGATAGGTTTACATAAATAAACGTAACATGAAAAATGTCTGATTTAAGCAGACTTATAACATGGTTATTTATTTTAAACCATGTTCTGCTATTAAGCGAATGCAATGTTATGACACGTAAAATGACACCTCACGTCACGTTTAAGGATCGGGTCCAGATGATTCGCCAGAAAGTGCTAGATTACGTGAAATTGCACCCTGCTGAGTTTGACGAGTTGGACGTCGAGCACATCCGTAAAAAGGATTATATTATTGAACGCTATCTTAAGGCTAATGGCAAAAGTTGTAAGAATTGATGACCACATTGTGGTTGGGATTGAATTTGTTGAGTAATGAAAATATGTTCATAATTGCAGTGAACGACGATAAGCCAAAAAACAATATTTTAAAAGCGCTCAAGTTTTACAAGAAGGAGGGTTTCGCTCAACTCAACGACTCGTACTTTCCGTCCGAGTTTTATGCCACGGGTTTCCTAATCGGACACGGAGTGGACAAAGCGGGCGCACCCCTACTGGGCTTCTGTAACCGGTGTTATACACCCTATCGTGACATTAGCGAAGATATGTACGATTTGGGGAGAAAATTCATATTGTATTTCGTGTATAAAAAGCGCATAGAGTTGGACCAAAGGCCCCGCACTGTGTACGTAGCGGCAGAAGAGGCTCATATTGTTAACTTTGAAATTAGTTAGTATTTAGCAAATAGTTTTAGTTTTACGTAACAAATTATTTTAGATAATTGTTTTTGAATAGAAATGCTTGAAAATGTTGTGGGTTTTGTCAATGACTTTATGCCGTCGACTCCGGCGAAACTACTTGTGGCCGATTTAAGTGCAATCGTTGAGTTAACGTTCAAAGTGTTGACAAACCTATTGCACGAATCGTTTCAAAAGTCGGTGAGGTTTACAACAATGGTTGACATCAAAGAGTGGATCGCTTATCAGGAGATACCGACATATGTGGGCGGAAACTACGAGAACTACGCGAGAATACCCGATGGAGTCAAGTCTGGCAAATGTCTGAACCATTTGAAGTACATTCCCGACGAGGATTGGGATGCGTTCACCGATCAGAACATTGTTTGCATTCGCGAAGGACTCAAAGAGAGAAATCAGAAATCAATGGAAAAATACTTAAACCTCGAGTGTTAGCGTATTTAGTGGTTATTATAAAAATTAATTTGTTCAATGTTTAGAAATTACTGTAAAACATGAAATAAATTGTAAATATTTTATTATAAATTAATTTAACTTGATAAATTTGTGTGTTTTTTATAAATAATTTTCAGTTCTATGTTTTAATTATTTAGCATACAGTCTGCCCTAGATATAAGGGACTCGTTTGGTCAGAAAAAATGGTGTCCCTTATGCCAAATTCCCCTTATATCGACATGTGTATTATACTACACCAAGAGCTGTTTGGGCATCAGAAATACTCTTACTTATATCCTATTCTCTTATATCGCAGTCCCCTATAACGAGGACAGACTGTATTTAGTATTATATACCTAATTAAAATTTAGTTGAGTCTTACTTTATGTTAATTTAAAAATTCAATTACTTGTATACTGTTTGACTGTGAAGTAATATAAATCAATTAAAAATGTACAGTAAATATGTGTTAATGTTTACAATAAAATATTATTAAAATGGTTATAATTAATGTTAATTATATAATAATAAATGTATTATTTATATACATTTCACACATTTATGGTGAAAATGTGACCGAAATGCACGAAACGGACACATCGTTGAGTATTCACGTCGATCTCATTCGGTCTAATGTCTTGTATTTCGCCGAAAAAAATCCAAAAGCGATTCACGAGATTGACGTGAATCGCGTCAAGACTAAGGACTGGTTAATACACCGCTATCTGAAAGAGTATGAAAGTGAGTGTTAATCACCATTTGATTGATTGTTAAAACATATCACGCGATTGATTGAGTGGTTAATTAAATCACATAACAGACAATCCGAAGATAGCGGAGGAGGCGCTGATGAAGTCGTTGAAGGAGTTCAAAGAGCTTCACGTGTTGAACGACACCTACTTTCCGGCCGAGTTTTACGCCACCGGAAGTGTTGTGAGGTTTGGCCGCACAAAAGACAAGGAGCCAATACTGATCGGTGTCGGCCGCTGTGTCCGCTCGTACGGCAAGATTAGCCAGAATATGCTGGACTTGCACTTGAAGTTTGTTAAGTATAACGTACTGGTCAACAAATTGGACGCCGACTCGCGGCCATCGGTGTACATGCTCAATTTGAACAAGCTCGGATTTGACAACATCGAGCTTAGTCCGTTGTTTAATATTATTGTTGCTAAACAAATTAATTAGCCCTGTTGTTTTTAAATAGAGTACTTGTACAAAGTGGTAGAGTTTCTAAACGACCATAGTCCGGCCTCGCACGCAATCGCGCTGATTGTCGATTTGAACGCATTCCTCGACGTGACCGTCAGACTCGTGGTAAACATGTTGAGCGATAATCTCAAGAATCGGATCCGTTTCGTGCAATCGACCGAAGTGTTTGAGTTCGTGAAAGCGGATCAGTTGCCGACGTTTCTCAACGGCACGAATCACGCCTTCAGACGTATGCCTAAAGGCGCTAAGAGTGGCCGATGTCTGCCACACCTCTCCAACATTCCGGCCCAGGAATGGACTGATTTTGTCAAATTGAATACACTGTGTATTAATGAAGGACTCAGTGAAAGCAAACTCAAAACAATTGAGCAGTATATTCATTGTTAATACTGTATGTTTATTGTGTAAACTAAATTTTAGTTATATATTCTTTGTAATTAATTTGTAGTTTTTATTAAATTGTGTGTTTTTTTAATTAATTTTATTTTGAGAGGGTTTATCTTAATTTACATAGTATTGTGCAATGCTTTAAAACAAATTACAAACTTTTATTGTCCATTTAGTGTGGTATTTGAATTGAAACCCATTTTTATTATTGTCGCCCAAAAGTGGATATTAAAGAGAAGTTTCGTTTTAGTGTTCGTATAGAGAAACAGAAGCCCTACCCCTCATAAAAGGGTCAGCGAAGGGACGGGCAGAGGATAATGACGGCTAAACATGAGTTTAAATATAGTTTGAATGCACCGGACATTTATCACCACTCTCTCCACACCTGAATGAATACACAATAGTTTTAAAACTCATCCCAACTTTGAAACTGATTTTGAATACCTTTATTTTAAGCCAAAAAGTGTTTGGTTTTATGTATAAATGAATGTGTGATTGAGTGCCAGTATTTGAATTGTGTTTTAATTAATAGTAATTTTAGTTAATTTATTATCGTTAATACCCGAAAGTCTTAGCACTCGGGCCTTACAATTAGTTAAAAACATTAAATTTCAAAAATTTTATAAACATAAATCAATTTATAAACATTTAATTACATTTACCATTTTTATTATTAATATTTTTAATTATTTTTATTTGAAATATTAAGTAGTGCTAAATTAATTAAATGTTTTGCGTTAAAATAAACGCTTTGAAAACAATAATGTCTGTCAAATGGTGTATTTGTTTGGCACTATGTCTACAATTTTTACATTTATCGTTCATTTATTGTGACAAACCATCGCTTAAAGACCAGGTGGAGGGGCTTAGGAGTAAAGTGCTGCTATACGCCAAAGATCATCCTGATGCTATTCACCCGATCGACATCGAGAGGGTTAAAAATAAAGATTGGTTTCTCAAGCGCTACCTTATAGAGTATAAAAGTGAGCGTAAATAGCATTAAAAATAACTATTTAATAATGATTTAATCATATAATATAATGTTGATGACATTTTGTCTAAAATAACCTAGATGACGAAAAAATGGCCGAAACGGCGCTACTGTACTCATTGAACACATTTAAAACGGACGGTTTGCACGAATTGAACGCCACGTATTTCCCGGCTGAGTTTTACGCAATGGGCAATTTCATAGGGTTTGGCCGATCTAAGAAAGACCTGGCAGTCATGGGAGTGATCGGTCGGTGCGCTCCCAATGTATCCAATATGAGTGAAGAGATGTTTGAATTGGCGCTCAAATTCTTTAAGTATATATTCATGAAATACTATCTGGAAGTGGACGGCGAGCCGGCCGTAGTGTATGGCATACTGTCCGGAATGGGAATGCATAATGTAGATATGGGTCAGTTATGTTTGATTAATGTCCTTGATAATTTTGTGATAGTTTAAGTTATTTATAACTTTAATAATTTTACTAATTAATAAGCTTGTTAATTATTAAATACAGAGTTTGATAAGCAAGTGATAGCGTTTGTAAACGCACATGCTCCCGATAGTAAAGTTACCTTTTTGCTGATCGATTTGGGATGGATTGTGAAGTTTGCCATTAATTTGTTGATCAATCTGTTGAACGAGAACTTAAGAAATAAGATCCGTTTCGCCGACTGGTCTCATGTGGAGGAATGGGTGGCTTTGGATCAGATGCCCAAATATGTCGGCGGCACTAATGAGGGCTTCAGGCGTATACCCGATGGCGTGAAAAGTGGCAAATGTTTGCCACATCTGCAGCACATCCCTGAAGAGGAATGGGATGCAGTCGTACAGCAAAACGGCGAATGTATTCTCGAAGGTCTTAAGGAGAGTGGGCTTAACTCGTTGCCCGAGTATCTCAATTATTGTGATTAAATAATTAGTTATAAGTTTTAATTAAATTGAATGCATTGACATTTATATGCTGACTAATAAAATTAATTTTAAAATTTACAAAATTAATTATTTAATTTTTGTTTTAATTAAAGCAGAAATACGTAATTATAGAATGCTTTGTTAGCCAAACATCAATATTTGCATAATTATAAATTGATTGAATTTGTATTACTAATTAAATAAGAGTCAAATAATTTTAAAGCTACATTGTTTTTATTATTAAATTGATAAAAATAAAAATATAATTTCGTTTACGCGAACATAAACCGTAATTTCTGCAATATCTCGAAATTGCAATATCTCTGCAATATCTCAAATATTTATCAATATATTTAAATGTATATCTAATTAGAATACTGTATAAACTTTCAATATGTGTTTAAAAAATTAATTGTTTATTTTATGAAAACTTTTTCATTTATTTGACCATTGAATAAAACACATGATGGCTATAATTAACGTATTCACTATTTGTATAATACTAACCGCGTTTTTGGCCATCAATTGTAGCAAAGAGTCGGTACAACAGGTTAGGGATTCACTAAAAAAACAGTTGGGAAAGGATAAGATTAACGCCACCGACGATGAGGTTAAAGTTAGAAGTAGAGATTTTATAATCGAAAAGTTCCTTGCTGCCACTAACAGTATGTACCTAATTAATTGTCCATATTATTTAGTTATTATTACAAGCAATTTTAATTCTACTTCAGTAAGAGTTGATTTAACAAAATTGATACAAATTAGTATTAATATCTGTATTTTTATTGTAATATCTAGTATAAATAAATGTACTGGTAATTTATACTTTGGATAATAAAATAGATAGCGTGAATGAGACGGTAAAAATGATCTTAAAAGGGTTGGACTATGCTAAAACATTGAAAATATTGCACTATGGCGAAAGTCATTATCCATCTGAGTTTTACGCGACGGGAGCCATACATAATGTGAACAAATCACGTGCCGGACAACCGGTAGTGACGGTGTGTTTCAGTTGCATTCGGCCGTTCAAAAGCATGAGCGCCGAGATGTTGTCGTTAATGCATAACTATTTCCTCCAGCGATTGAAAATTGCACTTTTTGAGGGAAAGGAGAAAAACTTTCACATAGTTATCGACTTTAACGGAACTAAAAAGGAAAACATTGAATTCAGTGAGTATTAAATGTCGTAAAGTATGAATGTGCTCAAAAACTATGACTCTATGTAAACTTGTACATTACAAGATTTACCGTAAACATACAGTCAAATTCATAAACTATGTTGTAATCTCTAAATTTCATGGATGTAATAAAAACAATTTACGGGTCATTTTTGGGGCTTATTTGTAGAGATATATAATTGGATTATCCGTTAAAGAGCTGCGCTCTCGTGAAAGAGGTTCGGATAGTATCTGAATTTGATTGTATATAAACATAACGTAACGATCGTATGTGTTGTACGAAATTATCTAGATAACAACAAAAGCAATATTGAAATCAATATTTGTAATACTTGCAGGCTTATTTAATAGAACATTTGGCCCGATTAACTATTACGTACCGGGGTTTCCCGATAAAATACACTTACTAGGCGTGAACTCAACGATCGAGACCGAAATGAATGCGTTAATTAAAACCTATAAGCCTGAATTCCAGAAACGGATCTTGTTCACCACGCATAAAGAGTTGGACAAGGTGATTGCGTTGAGTGAATTACCTGTGAATGTAGGTGGCCAACGCAAAAAGCTTAACCGTTTACCCAAAAATATTAAAAGTGGTAAATGTCTTAAACATCTCGAGAAGATACCAGCGAAAGATTGGAAGACATTTACGAATACAAGCATTGACTGCATTAACGAAGGCATGAAAGAGGCGAATGTGAATTCTACGGACACATTCTTGAACACTGCGTGTGTAAATAATACTGTATATTGAATACAGTGTTAAAACTCATGGCAATGACAATAAAATTTTCACGTTTCACAGTTTAAAAAATAAATGTACCAATATTTATACTAATTATGCAAATTATTAACGAATAAAATGTTAGTTACTTTTGTACTAATATAAAATAAAAATAATTAATTTTATATTTGCTTATAACTTAATTGCAATAATAATTCTATTTTTAAAAATGCATCCAAGTGTAGATTAATTAAGCATTAAGTATTGAGAGTAAATATTTAACAAATTCTAATATATTAAACAAAATAAAAATAATTTTTCCATCAAACATTTAAAGTTGTGAAAACATATACTTTCCATATGTGTGTTAATTATGTTGTGATATTGAAATTAATATATTTTGTCATTTATTACAACAAATTATGATTATAATGAACGCGTTGTTCATTTGCTTAATACTAACCGCGTTTTGTGCCATCAATTGTAATAAAGAGGCGGTTAAACGGCTGAAGGATTCGCTTTCAAAACATTATGAAAAGGATAAAGATTTGAAACATATTGAGAAGAGAAACGCAGACTTTCTGCTCGAACGATATCTCGTGGCCACCAATAGTAGGTTTTTTGTTATTATTATTATTGATATACATTTTTTAATTGTAATAAAGTTATAATTCATAAGTCCTCTCGAATTTGCGAACAATTTAAATAATTTTTAAAAAATAATTAATAGAATTTATAGCATTTTATTGCAGTAGACGTTATTATAATTACTACTGCTTTATATAAAAAATAATTCTTTTTTATATTAATCTAAAGGCAAGCAATAATTATTAATTTATCGCGCAAATAGATAGCGAAGCCGAGGCACTAAAGTGGGTGATAAAGGCTATTGATTATGGTAAAAATATGCAAGTTATGACACACAATGAGCTCGACTATCCATCCGAGTTTTTCGCCACCGGTGCCGTCCATTATGTGGGCAAATCACGTACCGGACAACCGGTTATATCCATTTGTTTTCGCTGTATTCGGCCGTTCACTCATATGAGTGACGCAATGTTACACTTAGCGCATAACTATATCCTTCAACGATGTAAAACAGCACTCTTTGACGCCAAAGAGAAAAATTTTCACGTCGTTATCGACTTTACCGGTACTAAAGCCGAGAACATTGAATTCAGTGAGTGTTTCAAATATTGTGTGATATTTTTTACAATTATTAATTCACTTAAATTTCAAATGTGCAGGATTATTTGAAATGGCAACAAAACATACAAACACCTTTATACCGGGCACTCCTGAAAAGATACATATACTAGGCATATATAAAGCGGTTGAGATATTAATATCTCCATTATTGGGAGCATTTAAGCCAGATTTCAAGAAGCGCATCTTGTTCACCACTCCTGAGGAACTGAACAAAGTGATCGCGTTGAGTGAATTACCTGCGAGTGTAGGTGGTGAACGTAAAAAGGTGGGTCGTTTACCTAAAGGGTTTAAGAGTGGTAAATGTCATCAACATCTCAATAAGATACCAACGGATGATTGGCAGAAATTGTTGGACACAAATATTGACTGCATTGGTGATGGTATGCTAGAGGCGAATGTGAAAACCGTCGAACATTATCTAAACACTAAATGTAAATAATATATTGAATACACTCTTAACACCTATTGTTGAGTTAGTGTTGATTTTCACATAAATAAAACGTAATTATTATAAAATATTATAAAAGATTATGTTTTAGATTATTGTTAACAATTCAATAAACTATATGTTTTTTGCTATTTAAGGTATTTTAATAATTTGATCATGATGGTTTAAAAATATTTTGCATTCAAAAAGCATGAGATTCTTACAAAGACTTGTAATCAATATTTATTATTTAATAGATAATATAATTATTGTGAAAGTACACATAATTTCACTAAACGAGCAAAGTATAATGATAACATATGATACTGATTAGAAATTAACCATGTATCAATTTATTAAATATAAACTATTTAATGTGGGCAGGGGTTGATCTACAGTTAAGGGATTGATTGTTATAAATCAAACAAAGTTAATAAGTTGACTATTGCTTATGCCATTTGTTTTTTAATTAAATATTATATAATGTTTTTAATGAAGTAAAATTAATTTAATGTCATGGTAAATGTTTAAAATTGTAACTGAATTTATGCCACATTTGGCCGCAAATATATCTAATCGTAAACTAACGTAACAACTGATGCAACGAACATAAGATGAAGTACACTGTATTCAGAGGCCCTGAAACGGGTGTAAACCCTGGGGCAGAGCCGGTGGGATAAATTAACCATGGTGTTTAATTGTTTTATATGAGGATAGTTAATTTTGGTAAATATGCAAATTATGTTGACATTAAAACTGCGATTTCAACTTTCCATACTAACATGACATGTTATGTATTATGTGTTTGAATTTTTATACATTTACATTTTAATAATAAATGACCGGTTTGTTTGAGTTATTAATTAAATATGTGTCTGCCGTTTAATTTGTCTGAAATTTGCTATTAATCTCGTGTTAAACATGCGCTACACACAGTGTACTCCTTTAGGTAATCAGTAGAGTGTCAGCAATTTAGATATGACTTTATCTCAAGTATTGCTTACAATTGCTTAATAGTTTTGCTATAAATACTGATTGAGTTTTAAATTAAGTTTATGTTTGTCTGGCTTTTTTGTTAAACATTTTTAACTAAAAGTTTGCAAATTGTTTTAATAATAAAGTTATTTTTAATATAAAACAATGGGTTTGCTATCGTTTGGAGAACCGCTCAGTCATCCGGAGAATAGGAAACACGCGGCACACGTGCGGAGACACGGAATCAAACAATTCATTAATATCTATAACCAAAACAAAGACCGAATCGACCGGTGCTTCAAATGGGGCGATGAGATCGAGTACGTGATCGTCCGCTTCGATCACAACAACCAAAAAGTTAGACTAAGTCTTCGCCCGAAAGACATTTTGGAGGTTATGGACGAAAGGGAGGCGAGAGAGGGACCAAAGTGTGAGGTGTTGTGGCGGCCAGAGTACGGCTCGTTTCACATCGAGGCCACACCCGGACAGCCGTACGGACACCAAAACGAAATGAATAGCAAAAAGTCAATGAATTGTTGGTTTAATAACGTGGAGAATAATATGAGAGAAAGGCGTCGAGATATCAAACATCTTCTCGGACCGGATGAAGCTTTACTTTGTTTGGGAAATTTTCCAAGGTTAGTTTATTGCCCAGGTTACTTTATTGTACATTATATTAGGTTATAAAATGCTAAATTAATGTTTATTGTTAACTGTGCATTAGGTTGGGTTGCGATGACATTAGTGTGCCGTACAGTAGTCCCGATCCCCTAAACAGCTCAACGGGCAGTATCTTTGTGTCGGATGTGTTGACAAATAGCGCTCATCCGAGATATATAAAGACGGGCTATAATATAGTTCAACGCAGAGAAAAGAAGATCACAATCAATATTCCCATTTTTAAAGACACCAAAACTCCCGACCCTTTCATTGAGTTGTTTAACGATAAGGAGTCCAATAGAGAGGCAAAAGTGGATCACATTTATTTGGACGCACCCGTACTGGGAATGGGCTGCTCTTGTCTTCAAGTAAATTATCCTGTGATTGAAATAATAGTTCAATTGACTAATTATATGAATTGCTTTCTAACATAGGTTACAATGCAGGCCACGAATATAGAGGAGGCGTTTGTATTGAATGACCAGTTGTTGCCGTTAACGCCTATTATGACGGCGTTAAGCGCAGCCACTCCTATATTTAGGGGCTATTTATCAGACTATGACTGCCGATTGGAGGCCTCTTCCGCGTCGATGGACGACAGAACTCCTGAAGAACGGGGAGAGAGACCCCTAAAACATGATAAATTCAGGATTCATAAATCGCGATGCGCCCCTTTAAACACATATCTGTGCGAATGTAATGCTAGATATAATGATAATCCCATTGTCTATAATACGGAGTTTTATGATGAGATGATCAGCGCCGGAGTGACACCATCTCTGGCCCAACACATGGCATATGTGTTCATAAGAGACCCGACGGTTACTTATTGGGAGAAATTGGATCAAAACGATAGCACAGAAACGGATCACTTCGAGAATATTCAGTCGACTAATTGGCAGACAATGAGGTTTAAACCGCCGCCTCTTAACCAACAGTCCATCGGTTGGAGAGTAGAGTTCCGTCCGATGGAGATCCAGATGACTGACTTCGAAAACGCCGCCTTTTCTGTCTTCACTA